AAAATACCTATGCAGCAATTATTCCTTTGATTTCAATTCGCTCTCCCTTCTTGAGTTTCTTATATCTCACTTCTACCCTCTCCCCTATTAGAGCTTATTCTTCAAGAGTCCATTGTAGTAGTTGCTTGCCATTCGGATTAAGCACAATTGTTCTTAGAATAAGCTAAAAAAAAATTCCAAAAAGACACCAGTTTAGTCTAGTAATCAAGAATTCTACGTTAATTACTTATGTTCAACCTATAATACCAGAATTCCAGCCCAACCTTTTTTCATATCATCAATAACATCTGTTGAATATTTAGTCAGGTGATATTTTAGAAGTTTCCTTAGATTTTGTCCTTGTTGTGTAGTGCTAAATACTGCTGAATATAAGATTGAAATGTTCCATTCCAAGTATAGGTATACTCCTATCTACTACTAGGATAATATTTGGGTTCCCACATATTATGGATAAAGAATGGGCGCATATATACACTTATATATGTCTTTTAGGAAAAATTGAAAGATGTGAGTCAACATGCCTCTAATACTAACATAAAAGAAGATGCTCTTTCAAAAGTACTTGGCCTAGAGAATAGTGGACGATTACGAGGGATTGGAGGTGGAGTTTGCTACACAAAGTATTCAATATTAACTCAAAGAGAGTCTAACTTAGCTCATTTAAAGGAAGAACAAAATCATCTAAATGACTTATTGAAAAAAAAACAGGTTAGTAAGTTCCTTTAAGTGAAATATAACTCATATACACTTTTACTTCACATGATGTAGTAACTAGTTTCTGAAATTTTTTATCTTTGTAGTTTCAGGTAAAGCAAAGTGAAGAATTATCTAATATACAACTACCGTCTTCACTAGTAAAATTTATCATTCCTTTTCATTGATAATATATATTTATTTTTAAAGTTGACTAAGCTACTAGATTGGACCGAAATAGGAGAAGAGGTGGCAGAAGGACGTTGGTCTTCAAATTATCCAAAAATATTGGTTCATCACGTTCTTCTAGGACCTAATGCCGTGAGAGTTCAGGTTGATGTAGCTATGAAACCTGATACATTTTTGTGGAGACCTACTTTTGATATGATTTGTATTGAAGAATGTGTTGGTACCACAATTGCATGGCCATTTGATAAAGTTGTAATTGAGTAAATAGCATAGATAATAAGGTCAAATTTTATACCTTAATATCTTCGGTCACTAATTAGAGTTTTGATTTTTTTTACTTTACATTATTTTAAAATCTAATAAGTTGTATCACTTCATTATTTTTCAGATTTAAATGCATAATTAATTTGACGATTGTCTTCTCCAAACAAGTTGCAAGAGTTCATGAAATTTCATTTTGAAGAACTAGAATGATATCGT